AGCATCACTTGTGCTGCCTTTCTTGTTTTCTGATTCTGAGTGAAGCTTTGTATTTAGAAGGAATGCAAGTGCAGGAGTCTTGATGGGTGCTGGTCCATTTCACATGGAGCCGGAGCTGCAGCATGGTAGCATGGTAGGAGTTGCTCTCCTTCTACTCTTAATCCCTATGTCCACCAGTGGCTTTGCAAACTTGGCTGAAGAGACTTTGATCAAGCAGCATGACTATGACAAGGTTCTTGGACAACTTGTCTCCCTTCTCTCCAGCCCACAGCTCTACTGCTTGAGTAAGAGTGAGTGATTCAATATCTAGGTATTGTGTCTCTGTATCTCATTCCTTGGGTTTTGGATAGTTCTCGACTGTAAAATGATCTTACTCTCCTTGGCCTATGCTATTCTATATATGGCTTCTAGCAGCCAGGATTAGGTGGCAAAGTGGTCAAGACTGTCTTTGGGATGCAGTAGAAATGCAATTGTATCATGTTAGAAATTAATTCCTGAAATGGAGATGCAGTGATTACATCCCCCTGTACCCTTCCTAGGCATTTGTTGTACAAAGGATAAAACATTCAGGCTACCTGTTCCCATGGTAGAAAGAATAAAATGCAGAGAAATATCCTTCAATTGTTCTACAAATAGATTTGTAAGAGTGCTAAAGCGTGTTTGCAAGAGATGACTAGTTCTTAAAATGCTCTCCACCAGAGATCTGGTAACCTCAGCCATTTTGCTGGAAGATGTTTCTATCTTGTTATCTGTAAAGTGACTGCCTGAGCTCTCTTTATCCACTCACTTGTTATCCCAGACATGTTATCACATTATCAGACCTCTCTGCTCTGAACCCTCATACAGAAGAACTGCTCACTGGGCCCTCCAGGTCACTCCTCATCCCAGGCTGATTGCAGCTTCAGTGTACAGGCAATTGCTTGAAATGGATAGAGAAGTTCTTTAGCATATGATAACTGGAATATTTTGAGATTCTAGATACGCTTGAAAATACACACTTTCCGTCTTCTCTTAATCCTGTGCTTTGGGAAATTGGTGCTTGAACCCTCATGGACGGACTTTATCCTTTTTGTCTTTAGTGTGTATCAGAAGCAGTAGTTTTATTGCACATACATGCTTGGTACTGCTGGCTCAGTTGATGCAGGAGGAGGTGTGTAGTATTGTGTGGGCCGCTGTAATAAAGTGTAAATATGGGCAAGTTGCCTTAAATAGCTTCAGTACTCCAGAGAAGTGATTTTGCAGTGCACCCTCTGGGAAAAAATAAAGACCGGTAGCAGATTTGGATTTGTGCAACTTCAGTTTGATGACAAATATTTTGTGTGTTTCCTCTTTGTACTGTATTTAGCAGTAGGTTCAGATTATGCATTGAGACCTGCTTTTGGGTGCAGAAAACTAATCAGGGAAATGCTTCATGGCCCAGAGGTCTGGATTTGCAGACTCCAGTTCAACAGTTGCATCTCTCTGTGTGCTGGCAGGAAGGAGCATCTGTCAGGGATGCCGTGTGGTCCTTATTAGAATATAATTTAGAGCTGTGGCTTAGAGAAACAGGTGCAATTATATACTAAAAAAATATCCAGTGGTCTTTGTTACAAGAAATGCCCCTTAGCTGGACAAAGACTAAAGGATTTTCCACAATTTTTTAAGCTGCAAAGAGCAAGGAAAATGGATGAATTAATTTGTCTCCATAACTAATAGCTCCTTGCTCTTCTGAAATTCTGTAGGTGTCTCCACCAAGACAGTAAAGCCCCCTGAGCCCTTTAGACTTGTTTCCTATTTGCACATGACCTTCACGGCAGTCACACAATGAAATGTGGCTACATCAGGAACAGTGCTTTGAATCACGTGACATCAAATTTCTTCCTCTTTCCACTCTTATCAATACCACAATATGCAAAACTGTCCTTTTGCATAAATTTTAAAACAGCATGTTGTTCCTATCCCAAGCTGGCTTGCTTTTCTAGCACATCTCTCTTCAGCTACTTAGAAATGCAGTCATCTTTTTACCTTAATGATGTTCCTCCCGAATTGCCTTCTATATGTTACCCAACTTCAGTAAATGATAACAGGTCATCTGAGTCAGGAAAGGTCGTGTGAGTATGTCTGGATCAGTATAAAATTGGTGAGGACTGAATTGCTGGGAGATTTTCTTCTACATAGCTTGCACACATTGATGTTAACATAATTTCAAGCTAGAGCTGGTGAAGCTTCCTTGGCTCCCTTTCAGAAGAAATATTGGTGTAGCATCCTCTACAAAATGACTTGAGAGGTCAATGCTGTTACTCAAGTCATAAGAAAATAACCATGAAAGTTTATGAGAGTGCTGTGAGGTCTTATAATGAAAGAGCTTCGAGCTTCTAATTTGAAGTGTGTTTTTGCTTAGGCAAATCAGAGAAGACTGGAGCTCTTTCATGTGCTGTTAGGGTGACAGGACAGGTGTGGAGTCACCTCCTGCTGTCCTCTGGTACTAGGAATTACATCAGCATTGGGTATTGGACAGCCTATGTCCTAACAAATTCACTCAAAAAAAGTGAAAAAAAAAGTGAAATTCAGATAAAACTTACTATTGCTTACAAAGTTATCTTTCTCTTACTCCCATTTATTTGCTGTTTCTTTTCTTATATGCAGCCTATAAACAATTTGGGGCAAGACCCAACTTTTAAATCTTTGTGAGATTCAGCCTGAGGGCTGGCTACCAAGTAGGATCACTTAAAAAAAATAAATAAATAAATAAAAAAAAATAAAAAATAAAACATATCTATGTGCTACAACTCTGAGGCAGTAAGAATTCAACCCTCTTGGTCGTTTACTGGCTGACCTGTTGCAGAAGATGCTAAGGAAAACAAGTTCCTGTATGGACTGCTCCACCAGCTATTTATAGCAAAACGTTAAGTAATAACTTCATGGGTCTGGCATGGGAATTGCTAGGAAGGATGATGGAATTGTATTCATGCTTTTTCTTTGGAATAAGTGCCAGGGATGCTGTTTATCTTTGTTAAAATAAACTGTAACTTTATGCCCTGACTGGCTGTTGAAATTTCATATTTTAATTCAATGGTCTGGGTTCAGATGCTGGTCTGCTAAAGAAACAGGGTTAATTACTGGTAGAGGGTGTTTAAACTGGTGCGAGTGATGTGCTGCAGAGCCAGATGAGAGCGGGAAAGTCAGTAATTTAGATTCCACTTGTGACTGTGGTACAGAAAGTGAAGATTAATGAAAGAATGTGTGCGTGGATGGCCAAATTCTTGCGTAAAGGGAGAGATGTTGCCCTTTCTCCTGGTTTTGCCTCAGCAGGACTTAAATTATTTGTCTGGAAAAAATAATGTTTTAATTATGTAGTGGTTAATGCTGCTGGTGCTACTGGAGATCTCTCTGGTCCAGGCAGAAGTTCTTGGTTATAATTTCTGTTTGTGCAGCAAGAAGTTGCTGAAGAGTGGGGCTGGAGTCCTGCATGGGGTTGGCAGCTTTAGTGCTGTGCCTCAGGCCGGCTCTGCCAGGTAGGCTGGAAGGTCAACAGCTCGATGGTGGGAGGCAGGTGTGGAGCTCTTGTGATTCGATCCCAGCAGCGCACCTGAAAAAAAAGGGCCATTTCCATGACAAAGTCTGTAACCTCACCTAGTACCCAGTGCAAGTTACTTTGCAGGAATACATTACAGATGAACTAGTGGGTGCTGCCAAAATAAATCCAGCTGATTATAACTTTGTGAGATTGGGGATCCTTGGTTAATCTTGGTTAATCACTAGGACCTGTTACCTTTTAGTTGAGGAGTGTTGTTTTTTGTTTTTTGTTTTTTAAAATGAGAAGATATGAAGCATATCTGTCTTGAGAACAAGCCAGGAGAGTGCAAGAGATTTAAAAAAACCCAAAAAACCAAAACGTATGTGAGAAGTGTGCTGGATAAGGTGAGGCCAGTGATGGAAGTAGAAGACTTGAAAGAGGAAGTGGCTGAGCAATTTTAATACTTGTGACAAGGGAGGCGGCGTAGGAGGGGGATGATGTTTTGGAGAGGAAGGGGTGGTAAAGCAAGCAGAGGGGAAGGCTGTGTGTTCTATGTGTTTTCCTCAAGGAGAAATGGGCAGAGGGAGAGAAGACAGAAGGATTTGAATGGAAATGTGGTGGAGGAGGAATGCAAGGAAGTACATGACTCCTGTAGTCCTGAAACATTTAAGAGGATCTTAAACATGGCCAAATAGTAAGGAAATAGTAATTTTTCTACTGCCTGGTAAGTTGCTAGCTCTAATAACCCAATACTTTAAGGATTTATTTCCTGCCAGACATTGTCCAGAAAAAAGCCATTGGAATCAATGTATTTTGGGCTCAGTCGGTGTGTAGCAAGACTAGAATTTCAGGTGCATTTTTCCTTTTTAAGAAAAGAAATTTCATATTTCATTTCACAATGACATAAACCCGGCAGCCAGGAGACCCTCAGCAGATGTATGTTTAAATGACTTCCCTTTAGTATTGCTTTTGGAATTAATATTGAATGAAGATCTTTGATACTTGGATAAGTGGTGTGGAAGGAAATAGTTTAGAGACTGTACTGGCTAACAACAAAGCGAGCAGTGCAATTTTCTCATGCTGAAAAAGGGAATTTTCACTTGAAATGAAAAGAAATGAAAACAGACAAAACAGGCAGAGAAGATAGAAGATCCACTGGTGATGGTATATCTTACAACCACCAATGTGCAGAGAGGAAAAAAGCACTTCGGGTGTCCACTGGCTGCTCTGCAGGAAGGGAAGCGTTGGCTCTTAGGTTTGGACACAAGCTGTTCCCCACATGCTTGCAGGCAGATATTAGTGGAAGAGGCATGCTTAAAGAAGGAAATGGGAGCCTTTGGACAAAGCACTGCTTGGGGTCCAGAAAAATAGTCACAGTATCTCAGAGTTGCTTGTTAAGCTTTAATACAGATGGGGTAAGGAGCTGCTTCTGGCAAGCATTCTCTCAAGGGACCCTGCAAAGGGCAGTGGCTTCAGGAGAAAGAGTATGAAACAAATATGGC